TCAGCTTGCCTTGGGATCTTTTCTCTGTGGCCTCAGCCAGGCACAGGGAAGATCCACGTTCTGAACAGAGAGCTAGAGAGTTCTGAACGCTGTCTCTGTGTAAAACATTCTTCGCCGACTCCGTCCACACCTTTGAGAACCCCTGGACCACTGGGGCTGGACCCCAGCACCCTCCAATCGCCATGGCGATCCTGGACACAGGCCAGCCGGCAACCCCGGCCCCAGTGGGGTCCCGGGTTGCCGCCTGGCCTGCGCCTGGGCCCTCCCGCCCTCCGATGCCATGGGGATTCTGGGCGCAGGCCAGCCGACAACCCCGGCCCCTGGGGTCGGGTTTGCTGCCCGGCTTTCCAATGGCGATCGGATTGCCGCCTGGCCTGCGCCCGGGCCCTCCCGCCCTCCGATCGCCATGGCCTGCGCCCCAGCCCTCACTCCTCCGATCGCCACCATCGCTCAGCACAGGCCAGCCGGCAACCCCAGCCCCTGGGGTCGGGTTTGCTGCCCGGCTTTCCAATGGCGATAACTGGCTTGGGGGGGGGGAAAGGCGGCCTTTGCCCACCCCCTAGCTCTTGCCTGCCGCCTGGGTTACGGATCACCATTCTTCAGTCCTTCCCCTTTCGCCTCCCATCATTGGGCGTATGCAAATTAGCCGCCATCTTTGTTGGCGGTTAACCGCCATCTTAGTTGGCAGTTGATTTGCATAAGGATATGCTGATTAGCCAATGGGAAGGGTAGCGGTTGTACGCTAATTACCATGTTTCTCTTTTATTAGTGTAGATGGAGTCCATAGCTTCATAACACAGTTCATGTAATCTGTTTCCCACTGGAGGAAGTTTACTAATATATTGATAAACACATGAACATATGTGCACACAGAGCACTTAACTGTGATGTTTTAGTAGCATGAGAAAGACAGGATACTGCGTACTAAATCTAGTTGCTGCCCATGACATTTGATTCATTGAAGATATTTTAAAAATTAGGTCTGTTGAAGGGCTTCTTGCATAATCTATAACAGAGAAGAAACACTCACTGAAATTTAGTCTGCCAATAGTTTCTGCTATCATCTTAAACTTTTGGCTTTTGCAACATGTGCTTCACCTATTCGATGTGTATTTTACTTGATGGAACACTTTATTCGACCATCAGGCCAAGTGAAGTGATGGAAAGCAAAAGGCCCCTGCAAAGCTGTGTGCCACTCGATGCCCCGCTCCTGACACAGTGACCTGCCTGCAGGTGCCCAGGCGACTCTCGAGGGAAGGAAGCAGTAGGGGTGGTTCTAAGGGCACTGAGACCCCTCCCGGGTGGGAGTCTGACTTATTGTGGCAACATGAGTGTTCAAGGGAAAACTCTTCCTCTGTGGGTCGTGTAGGACTCACCCTGGAGACCAGGCTCAGCATCCCAGGGCCCTGGCGATGGAGGACACTGGGAGTCTAGTTCTTCATGATCAACATCTAGGAAAGGGGAACTTGAGCTTTTATTCTACATGCAGCGAAACCAAGGGAGGGAAAGTCACTTAACTGAAGTTGAATTTTGTTAGTTTGTACATGTGTTGTGTTTGCCCTCTGCCTTACAATACAAGTGTAACGGCGTTTGCAGCTTCCGATGAAGACAGAGGCCTTGTAGAATTGACCTTCTGCCCTGAGAGTGCCTTCTTCAGGGTCTCTTCACCCGGAGCTCAGCCCTGCTTTTTCAGGAACCACAGCCAAGTGCGGGGCTGAGTCTGCGTTGAACCGGCGGTCACTCTGACACGCTTCCAGCGTATCCCCGATGCAAATGGAGCCTGCAGAGGGCCTTACAGAGAAGGTCCTGTGTGTTCCCTAACCTGACGCAGTGTGACGTGTTTATTCAATAGGCGTTTATGTTTGCTCGCTGGTGATTTGCTCCTCCTTGGCCTTTGAAAATTCTAATGTGGGACCAGATGACCTGAAGAGTAAGTAGAGGGTACTTTATATTTGCTCTTTGTGAATTCTTCCTTTTTTAAAAGCACTGCATCTGCCTGGCTGGTGTGGCTCAGTGATTGAGCACCGAGCTATGAACCAGGAGGTCATGGTTCAATTCCCAGTCAGGGCGCATGCCTGGGTTTGGGGCTTCAAGAGAGATCATCTCATACCTTGTTCATTTATTCAGAAAACATTTTCTT